GCACCATCTGTTCCTGGATCTGCGAGCTGGAAGCCTCGCTTGTGTCAAACACCTCCCACACGCTCCGAGCAGCCAGACTCCAACAGCAAGGACTTCGTCACCTGTTTCAAACAACTGCACAAAGTGACTCCCCCCCGCCGCATGCGTTAACTACTAATCACAGTGTGTTTGATGATGCTGTTAACCCCCGACCGGTCGAGAGGTTCCTTCCCTCGGGCTCAACCGGCCGCTAATCGCCACTGGGGAGGACGGCGACAACGAAGAGGTTGATGGAGGAGGAAGAGGAGTCGACCCCGCCGCCGCCGCCGCCGCCCCAGGAAGACAAAGAGAGAGAAGGAAGACGCAGGCACACGAACAAGGCCACGCTCCTCCATTTCAATCAGCGGCTGGCGTCTCACGTGGCAGCAGAGCATCCGGAGGGGAGGCGCCGCCGTGAATCCTAATTACTCCCTTTTCTCCATATCGCAGGGTGTTTCTATGCAAATGTGTCCAGAGAGGTATCTAGTTTATGCAAGGCCGACTGTATGAACCTGAATGTGAGCTGGGATCTCACTCAGACAAAAGCCTGGGTGGGGAGACGCTGGTGTTATAATTCGTTTGGATAAATTATTCATTTTGCACATGGCTCTCCCGAGTGTAGGACTGAGCACGGTTACACACACACACACACGCTGCTAATGTTTTGAACATGCATGTATTCCAGTGCATCGACGGGCACTGACCTCGAGTTAAGATGTATGGCTTTAATAAGAGTGACGAAGATGCTGAATAACGAGATGTCTGGGAGGCAGAGGTGTCCGCGGAGAGACAGAAGGAAACAATAACGTTGTTCTTCAGCACGCTGCGGCAAATTCCGCCAAATTTTTGTACCTTTATGAACACACAGTAAAACCTTAACCCAGTCAATCACGCATTGGCTGCAAAAGGTGTATGCAGCGGGGACAGTGTGCTGACACGATGACTGTTGGGTATTTACCAGCAGCCACACGTGCAGAGTTGTGTTTCACTTACTTCACTAACAAATTGTTACAATGTCCAACAAATGACAGAATGGCTCATAATGTGATCCGGGGTCTTTGTCTGGTCATTAGCCGGTTACACTTCAGACAAACACAATTAAGTTGTTCTAGGTTGAGGGATAACACAATGTGGGTTTCGAGCTGAATGTATTACTCCTTGTCACAGAAAGGAGGCGAGGTTACACCTTCTATCCACTTTGGTTTGGCCCCTTGAGCCTTGTGCGATTTGAGAGATTTATTTGCCTGATAGGAGTCTCATAGAAGCTTAAGAATTTATTCTTGCTCAGAACGAAGACTAATTTTAGGATATTCTCATTGCCAGTATGGAGGAGTGGGAACAATTTCAACAAGCAAGAACGGTATTATTCTACCTATGGGCATAGAAATATTGTTGAGTAATAAAAATGGGCATTAAATGAAACTAATTAATTAAATGTTATTCTCAGTGAAGGTAGCTAAGCTGGCGGTGCAATGATCACCTGAGGGGGCACCGGGTGGTGGTACCACGCTTCTGCAACCGGAGGGGTCTGGAACGCTCTCATGCACGTCCATGCAGCCGGTCCGGTCCAATAAAACATGAAGATGCTTGGACAACAACACATGCGAAGCGGAGAGAGCTTCGTTCTCTTTTGCCTCAGGCAAAAATTGCCAACGATTTTTTCTGGCTTCCAAAATAAATCTTCATCCTCAGGTACACCGCTATGCAGTAGCTCTGTTTCTATTACCTCTAATCCAGTACCATGTTTATGTTAAGAATATGTGTCTTCTTTTGCTGTCTGCACAGTTGCATCCCTTCAACAAAAGAAAAGCTCATTAAATAAGGAGACAAACAGGATGTGCTGATTGATGACCAACCAGAACTTATAGATCAAGCGTTACTGCCGCCGGGAGACCAGCGGTGTGCAGCTCCGTCTGCCTTGTGCTGATCAATACCAGCTGTGAGGAGAGCACAATGAAGCCCATCTCCATCCCTGCCCTCAGCACACACACACACACACACACACACTCTCAAATGCACTCTGACACGGCGCTCTTATTACAAACCTGTCTGTCACAAATGACCATAATCTATACTGTGCACCCAATGGCTCTCCCGGGAAGCTCCCCTCGTTTCATTTTTCATCTCATCCTCTTTCACTTAATTTCCAGTAGTTCAAACCCACGATATCCAAATGTGAGGAGACGCGGAGGCCTGCTGTTTTTTGACAAGTTAAATGACCAAAGGCAATCGTGCGCTTCCCCGGTCGGTCTGTAAGCAGCCCACGTCGCCTCGACGTGTGCGGCTGTGCGTGCTTTTGACTGAGCGCTCCTCATTCCTGCAGCATCTTTTTTTTGAGGTGAAATTGAAATGGGTTGTGTAGCTCAATATTTTATTGACATCAACTTCACAGAATGTTGCCACAGTGACACCGGGGATAATTATTTCACCACACAGTTCTTCCTCTCCGCATTGCTCTCCCTCCCTCCCTCCCTCCCTCCCTCTCTCCCTCCCTCTGCCTTCCTCCAAGCCCTTCCATTCCTGTGGAGAATTAGTTCTGCATAAATTACCCAGTGGAATATTGAATCAGTCTCCAGCCACCAAAGGCGAGTCTGTGTGGCTGATTACCGAGCGGTGTGCACGACACGCGCGCGGAACCCAACACACACAGAGGGGCCTCTGAGCGAGGAGCTGACGCCATGCAGAAAACATGGCGAGAGGAGGAGGAGGAGGAGGAGGACGACGAAGAAGGGGGATCAGCCGATGTGGATATGGAGAGCGAGAGCTGTTTTAGGCACCATAGCTGCACACTGTCTGCTCATTACTTAGTCATTAGCAGGCCCGTGGTTTTAAAAAGGGGGGGGGGGGGGATCAATCAATTGTCACGGGTCAATGTTTTGCGGCCGCGTACTGAACCTTGGGTGGCTCTGTAAATTAAGCACAGTAATTACTCATGTTAATTACACAAAGACGGTGGTCACATTGATCCACAAATACGTTTTGCATAACGTAAACGGTACGATGAGCAAACAGTGGGCTGCACTTGAGTATTTAAATGGTCACCCCGCACTGATCAGATGAAAGCGGTAGACAGGGAGTACTTCTCTTGTCTCTGAGGGGTTCCTAATCATTTATTTATTTTCCCAGCGTCGTGCTGAAAGCATTAGTTAGGCAATTAGTCAATTAACAGGAAATAAATGGGTAACCATCGAAACATTCCAGCCTCTCAAATGTGAGGATTGGTCACTTTACAGTTTACTTCACATTTTGAAATGTAGGAATTTCCCACTACACTAATAGACAACATGATTACTCAATTAAATGATCTGGATCTAATCTAGCGTAATTACGCTCCCTATTTGGTGGAAATCGGCAAAGGGCATTATATCTTATATCTACATACGAGGGCTTTAGTACAATTGAAGACGTGAATTTGACGTTCTCTAAACCTAAACCTAAAACATCGGGGACAGTGATAAAACCCTTGGACACCCGGGTTTTCTTCCATTTGGGTTTCCTCTGAGATATTCAATTCGTCCACGGGGAGCAGTGCGCGTGTTTGCTCTCGATTGGGAGATTAGCCCACTGTATTTGATACACAGTTTAAACACACATGCTCAAGAGGCACTTTAGGGGAGGATCATTGAGCTGCTTCTCAAGCTGAAAAAAAAACATTGTTGGCAGCAGTCCCCCGAGTGTTTTTGAATTTATTTGTCTCTTTACATATATTTAAACAGGCTGATCTGCATCTGCACAAACCAAGATGTGTCCCCGGATGTAAAACATTAGGGGAGAGAGACCCAACTCTTTGGGGATGCACTGCCTCCAGGAGGCAGATTCAGCAAACCCGGACCATGTTGAATTCCATATTAGAGGTTTGATTAGAGGCCTTTCGTGATGTAAGTGGCAGCAGAATTAGAAGATGGAAAATCACATGCATCCGGGTAATTTTCACTGCGGGTGGTTATCAGTCGACAGAACAATTAATTAGCAGAAGGACTTTGTGGATGGAAATCCTCTTCAGGAAGTCATCACCCACCATCAACACCAAATATAGGTATAAACAGGTTTGTTGTCCTCCGTCTGTCCGTTCCCAGTGATTTGAAATGCATTTAGTGGCACCTAGTGGCAGGTATTCAGACTGTAACATACATACCCCACGAGGCAACAGTGATTTCTTTTGACATTTTCGTTTGGAAAAATGTCTCCATAATTATGTTAGGACCACTACTCCACTGAATAATATGAATCCACATATAAGCACACAAATGTGCTATACCATATATGATTAAACCCTATATTTGGGGAATATCTTGGTTCATTAGATTGGGTTCCATCTGTTCCCTGATCCTCACCTCAAGCATGAACATGACAACATTCCTCCAAGCAAGACAAAATCTGCAATAAAAAATAATATGCCATAACATATTTTTAATAGAGCACCTTATTTGCCAAATCCCTTTGGGAGATATTTCCCGTTTTAACCACCAGGGGGCAGCACTCACTTGAGACCGGTTGTGCACATGCTGGCCTGACTTCTCTTTCTTACTGTTGTTGGGCATCGACTTTTGTTGCGTTCAGGGTCTTGTTCTAAACTTGTTATTTCGTTTAATGTCATCAAGGGCTGTTTTTCGGTGGCGTCGCAATGTATTCTGAATAGTCTTAGTTGTCTATGAATAAAAACAACATTAACATAGATGATAGAATACAACTAGTCAGCACACAAACTATTTGCCCACGGATGTTTAACCTTTATGTGGAGACATTGCTATATTACAGATGAACCCTGAAGGCAGCGCCCGCTGTAGCTCACATGCTAGTTTACCGATGCATCCCGTGTAGCTGCTAGCATCTCCACAACATGGGAAAGTGAAGTAACAGCGTGCTGCTTACGAGCATAGACTGTTTACAAGAAGCTCACAGGAACAGTCTGGTCCGCTGTAATGAGGACAAAATAACAGTGTCATTGTTCGTGTCGTTATTGTTTAGGAGAAGTTGCCAAAATGGTGAAGGAGCAGTTTAGAGAGACAGATGTGGCCAAGAAAATGTGAGTATAGGAGCACGGCTAGCTAACGTTAGTTAGCTCACCGGCTAGCCAGTGTCAGTCCGTTTGCAATGTGGCTAATAGTGACGACTTTTCTGTTGTACGTCCATAATAAAGAGGATACAGCAACCCAATTAAATACCCCAACTGACTGAAGTACTGACTCTCAGAGTTAAACGTTAAGTTACGTCAGCTATCCCATGTGTCACACGAAGAGACCGTACTGTCCAACGCTGTGACGTAATGTGTTTAATGAGCGTAAAGTTGGCATCTTTAAATTAAAGCATTCAACATATTGATCATGCTCGTGAGGTGCAGCACCCGGACCTAATGATATACATTTGCCTTAGTTGTTGTTCAGATGCACTTTTTTTTATCCCTTCGTTTTACTCTTTGTATTTGTTCTGCAGAAGCCACATCTGCTTTGGGATGAAATCGGCTGAACAGATGCGTCAGCAGGCCCACATCCAGGTGGTCAGCAAGAATCTGTACAGCCAAGACACCAAACACACTCCTCTAGCCTACGGAGTGCTGGACCACCGCATGGTACGACATAAGCACATAAGCACCTATTTTACTCTCTGCAAGAAACCAGCATGCAACACCTTGTCAACCATATCAGATATAACTCATCCCTCTGCTCTCACGTCTCCTGCAGGGCACCAGTGAGAAAGACAGGCCGTGTTTGACATGTGGGAAGAATCTGGCAGATTGCTTGGGACATTATGGCTACTTGGATCTGGAGCTGCCGTGTTTTCATGTCGGCTATTTTAAAGCCACAATAGGAATCTTACAGGCAAGTTTACGGTTGAATGTGATGTCGTGGTAATAAACAAGGGGTTAGTCGTTTTGGGACTAGACAATAGACAATTAAGACAATATCAGATGGTTGCGGTAAATGATATGTTGACCATAACTCCGTCAGAAAGCCCAGTAGTTGACTTCAACAAGTTGCGCCAAATTGTAATTCAGCAATCCGGAATATTTTTTCCCTTTAGGTGTCACTATAGTATCAAAGTTTGAACATGTGTGCATGCTGCTTTCTCTTAAAAGTAAATATGTTTGTAAATCACCAATAACATCACGTCTATCAACTTTTTCCTAAATATATAATGCATCCATAGTGTTTTTTTTATTGTAAATATATATTTTATATCGTAAAACAACACAAACATTATTTTATTATTAATTAATAATCTGAGACACTTTTTCACCAACGTCATTTTGATGAAGTGTTTTTTCTTCATTTCTCCAGATGATTTGTAAGACATGCTCAAGCATAATGCTGACGAAAGAAGAGAAACTGCAGTTCATGGATTTCTTGAAAAGGCCAAATCTGCCCTACCTGCAGAAACGAGGGTTGAAAAAGAAGATCTCCGATAAATGTCGCAAAAGGACAATCTGTCTGAATTGTTCAGCTTTCAATGGTGCAAAGAGCGATATACCATTTTTGACATTTGTTTCTCAACACCAATGTTTGCTGCGTTCCATCTTCATGTAATAACTGGAAAAACTTGAGTCACCTGTCTCTTTTTCTCTTCAGGGCCAGTGAAGAAGTGTGGTCTTCTTAAGATCATCCACGAGAAGTATAAAACAACCAAGAAGGTGGTGGAGGCCTTTGTGTCAGAGTTTCTCCAGTCCTTTGACACTGCGATTGAGCACAACAAAGTGGTGGAACCGTTGCTGACCAAAGCACAGGTGAACTAGTTAGAACTAGTTAAACATGTTTTTGTTTGGAATATCATGGGTATATTCCTCAAACTATGGCATGAGGAAGTTTTATTATTGAAGTATCACATCTTCAAGCAAGACTTAAAAACTTGTATTTTTACCTCGATGCAAAATGTCCTCTTGCAGGAAAACCTGAACCCTCTTGTGGTGCTGAACATGTTCAAGAGGATTGCTCAAGAAGACATCCCCTTGCTGCTGATGAACCCGGAGGCAGGGAAGCCTGCAGACCTCATTCTCACCCGCCTCCTGGTGCCGCCGCTCTGCATACGACCCTCTGTGGTCAGCGACCTGAAGTCGGGCACCAACGAGGATGACCTCACCATGAAGCTCACAGAGATAATCTTCCTTAACGATGTCATCAAAAAGGTCGGTATCTACTTTCGTCTGTGGTTCCTCACCCTTTCATTCAGTCGAGGTCATTTGATAGGGATTCATAAGAGATTTGTAAACTTGTGACGACAAAAAGCACCAGGGGGCAAGTGGCCACATCAGATTCAGCAGCTTCCAGCTACCGTCACATTTTCTGCTGACCTGAAAATTAATCATCAGCCATTCAACCAAAGAAATAACTTGATAGCAGTTATTTTTTACAATTTTTGTCACTTTTTCTCATCATTTAGCATCGTATGACCGGGGCGAAGACACAGATGATCATGGAGGACTGGGACTTCCTCCAGCTGCAGTGTGCTCTTTACATCAACAGCGAGCTTTCTGGCATCCCGCTCAACATGGCACCTAAGAAGTGGACCAGAGGCTTCGTGCAGAGACTCAAGGGGAAGCAAGGTGTACGATCGATTGTTATAACACATACCGCTCAATAAACGGCAACAGCCTGTGCATGAAAGAGAAAAGTTGCCTTAAGTACCTGCCAAAAACTGATTTAGTTACTGTAAACATCTAGGTAGATTCAGAGGAAACCTCTCTGGGAAAAGAGTGGACTTCTCCGGCAGAACTGTAATTTCCCCCGACCCAAACCTGAGGATCGACGAGGTGGCCGTCCCCGTGCATGTGGCTAAAATCCTCACGTACCCAGAGAAGGTACGTCTCGCTACCCCGAACCACTACTTCCAGGGCAGAACTAGACCGCTCTAAATGTGACATCATGTTCATAGGTGAACAAAGCCAATTTGGAGCTAATGAGGAAACTGGTCCGCAACGGTCCTGAGCTTCATCCCGGAGCCAACTTTATCCAGAATCGTCACACGCAGATGAAAAGGTCAGACTCGCTGCTTCTTATGCCAAATACAACCGGTAGTTACCGGCTGTGTTTCACCACCTAGTGTGTCGTTCCATTCCGTCAGGTTCTTGAAATATGGAAACCGTGAGAAGATCGCTCAGGAGCTGAGGTTTGGCGATGTGGTGGAAAGGCACATGATAGACGGAGACATCGTCCTTTTCAATCGACAGCCCTCCCTGCACAAACTCAGCATCATGGCCCACATCGTAAGCTCAGTTTAATACTGTACTTATCTGGGAGGTTTAATGTGGTTATTAAACTTCATAGCTTTGATTTTGCATGTCGTCTTTTGTTTGTTCAGGGCTGAGCTCAAGATAGTTAATTCAAATTATTCTCTCTGCCCTAAATGTTTTTTTTTTTTTTAGTCCAATTAGACCAAACTGGATAAGTTAATGTTCTACGGCCCCATGTTTAACATAGATTTGATTGAGTGATTATTCTTATCACCGCCGATAAGGAACAGATCGTAGTATTTCCACATGTATGAAACCGTTTTTTGTTGTTCCTCAAACCAGGCCAGAGTCAAACCTCACAGGACGTTTCGGTTCAACGAATGTGTGTGCACGCCGTACAATGCCGACTTCGACGGCGACGAGATGAACCTCCATCTACCTCAGACGGAAGAAGCCAAAGCCGAGGCCCTCGTCCTGATGGGGGTACACGTCACCACATGTGCTGCATTCAGAATACGCACAGCTGTCGGCGCTGACCTTCAGCGATGAAAAGAAGTCTCGGGCAACTGGGACATTAGCAGGAAATTGACCGTCCTTCTGATCCAAATTACCTTTTCTTCCAGACAAAAGCAAATCTCGTCACGCCGAGAAATGGCGAACCTCTGATTGCTGCCATTCAGGACTTTCTGACAGGTCAGTGCGGTGACGGTTTCATACGATGCCGGCCTTCTGGTTATTTGATTTTCAGTTAGGCTCAGTAAGGAGACTAATGGGGCTTATTCGCTACTAGAAGCACACTTTCTTCAAGGTAAAATGTTTTACTTCATACTTTTTATGCTCAAATTGAATTTACTAGCTTATTTCTACCTCCTAGGCGCTTACCTCTTGACGCTGAAGGACACCTTCTTCGAAAGAGCAAAAGCCTGTCAGATAGTCGCGTCAATCCTTGTGGGCCAAGATGAAAGAGTCAAGGTCTCTCTCCCCCGCCCGGCTATCATGAAGGTATTGCACTCTGCTGAGCTCGTGACGCAACTCTCTGTCTCTGGCCCGGCACTAATATTTAGCTGTGTGTGTCCATCAGCCGATGGCTCTGTGGTCGGGCAAACAGATCTTCAGCCTCATTCTGAAGCCAAATAAGGATTGTCCAGTCAAGGCCAACCTGCGGACCAAGGGCAAGCAGTACTGTGGCAAGGGAGAGGATCTGTGTTCCAACGACTCGTGTGAGTTTCTTTTATTCGGAAAGGTCCGCGAAACGAAGCAAATGAAAATGATTCATATGTCAAGTAATGAGATGTATTGTGAACTTTATTTAACCATTTAAAAGGTTGTTTGGGTTTTTTTCAACAAAAGCAATATGTTCCTATCGCCACAGTGGAAGTTAATAAATGAGGATATTTAAAAACAACCTTGAATTCAATTAAAGCTAAATGATTTTCTGAAGTTATTTTGCCATAAGCCTACGCATCTTTGTTTGTATAGTACATTTTGACATCAAGGCATTTCAAAAGGCTTCACATAAAACCATTGAAAGCATCCAAACATGACAAACATAATTAATTCTTGCAGGCTGAATAGCTTTCAGCCCTCCCCAACTCTCTCAGGCAGCACCCCTTGTCTCCTGGTTTTATTCTCCTCTGTCGCGTTTCTTTCCTGTTACCTTCTAATGACGTGCATTTTCTCACATTTTCCCGTCACGTTTCCAGTCGTGGTGATCCACAACAGTGAGCTGATGTGTGGTTCTCTGGACAAGGGCACCTTGGGCTCCGGCTCCAAGAACAACATCTTCTACATCCTGCTGAGAGACTGGGGACAGCTGGAGGCGGCGAACGCCATGTCTCGCCTGGCGAGACTCGCTCCGGTGTATCTCTGTAGGTGTTCCTCAGGGACGTAGCCTTTCTTAGAATGTTCTCAAAATAGGTCACCTGTCAATCAGATAAAACCCCCGGAAAATGATTCCAAAAAAGTGTGACTTTCTGTTGTAGACCGGTACATATTAGATAGCTCGGAAAACTGTTTTCCAAACTAGCTAAACGTATAGAGATGGATTTTTAACTTTTATTTTCTTCAACCACCCAACCCCGCCACGACTTTTAGCCAACCGCGGTTTTTCCATTGGCATTGGTGACGTGACACCCGGCCAGGGTCTGCTGAAGGCCAAACACGACCTGCTGGACGAGGGTTACAAAAAGTGCGACGAGTACATCGAAGCTCTAGACACCGGCAAGCTGCAGCAGCAGCCGGGATGCACAGCGGAGGAGACTCTGGAGGTAGGCGTGCATACATGTGTGCACACGGAGAAACATTGACATGTGGATTTACACCCGGATCCTCACTGAAGGCCATTTAATCAGACATGTGCCCATCACGTACCATTTAAGGACCTCGTTTGCAGCTGACACCTTCTCTCCCTATGGCACTCTAATAGAGGAATGTTATTCATCTAATTAAATAGTGTAAGACACCTATTCTGTGGGATCACATGCAAACCCTCACAACAATGCTGTAATGTATCTAAGAGATTTCACTCTTTAGTGTCAGTGCATCGCTTTCCTTCTACATGCCGAAAACAAGCCGGTGTGCAATCGGATAAAAAAACATTAAAACCCGACTCCAAGTTGCTGAAACTGCAAAAACTAGGCTCTGTGGTCATTGCCTACCCGTGTTTAGAAAAGAAAGATGAAAACAAAGTCCATTTTTATTGATATATTAAGACAAGAGTTGTCTGGATCACACTTTAAATATGTTTTAAGTATCTTCAATATTCCTTTTTCGTTTTGTACCTTTACTTCTCCCTTGTGATAACCAATGTTTGGAGACTGAACTACATCTATATTCACAAACGATCTTCATTCCCTCAAAGGATGTCAAAAAAAGAAAATCCTATGCCCGCCTTGTTGGTGTTTATAGACCGTGTTTTAAAAGGCTCCTCGCGTGGTTAAGAACTCAACTTTGGCCTTGGTTCTGCCTGTTGTTCAGCCCACCACGGTTGTTTTATTCAGGGCGTCTTTCTCAATAGGCGCTCATCTTGAAAGAGCTGTCCGTCATCAGAGATCGAGCCGGTAGCGCCTGCCTCCGGGAGCTCGACAAGAGCAACAGCCCCCTCGTCATGGCTCTGTGCGGCTCGAAGGGTAAGCTGCCTGGAAAGCGAAAATTGAATAATATTAATACTGGGTATCATTTTTATTCTAAGATGCTTTTGTGAATGCAGAGGCAATGAACAAAACTGGGAAAGGTGCCCCCCCCCCCCCCTCTACTTTAAACCAGTTAGGAACCTGTTACCCTGACAACAACCTCTAATGACGTACGGGAAGTATTTTTATTAGACGACGTTGGCCTTTATGTAGAAGTAGTGCAGTGGATGGCAGAGCTCACTACATGCTGCACGCGGATAATGATAATAAAGAGTTCTCTCTTATTGTCAAAGCAGTGTGGCCTTTGCGGTAGTCAATGGATTTTTCAAGCAAGGAAAGGCCTTGAAAGAAGCAAAAACTCAGGGCTTTACAGAGGAAAACTTGTTCGACAGAAGCAGAAAAATGATGAAAGCCCAAACTCCAAAAATCCATAAAAACGTCGACGATTTCCAGCCAAAGCCACATGAATGTTTCCATGTTTTGTTTACTTAGTTGAGAAGGTCACCACGTTTATTTCCTAAGCTGTCGTTAAACAGATGTGTTTCGGGAGAACGAATGCTAAGTGAATGGGTCTAAACTAATTTGTGTCTAATATAATAATATGTGTGGGGGAGTGTTTTTCAGTAATTAGCTCTACATTAGACATTCTGTATCTACAATTATTTGAATTTGGAATCTATGCTCAGGGTCTGTTTTAATTATTATTAATGTCTTGTTTGTGTGCAGTGTCTCACCTCTTTATTGTATTTCCTCTAAATACACCTACAGGGTCTTTCATTAACATCTCCCAGATGATTGCCTGTGTGGGCCAGCAGGCCATAAGTGGCTCTCGAGTACCCAATGGATTTGAGAATCGCTCCCTACCTCATTTTGAAAAGCACTCAAAAGTAAAATCCAGTTCATTTGTTGTTTTGTTTGTATGTATCGTATTGTTATTTGAGCCTTAATGTGCCCTGTTTTAATGGAATAATTTGAGTTCTCGTGTGTGATTGTAACCGTGGCGTCCAAGTGTTTGGACGTGGATTATTTTAAACAGTTCTCATTATTTTATGAGGGAGGTCTCCACCACTAAACACAACAAACTGCAGTTTTTATACGATAACTACTTATCATAATTCATTTTGATGGAAAATGAATAATTTGAGCTTACTATTACTGATATATACACATACACAGTACCAAAGTGAAGTCAAAAGTGTGGACCCAAATAAATTTGAATTGTTTCTTGAGGGTTTAACTTTTTTGTCCACAGCTGCCTGCTGCTAAAGGCTTTGTGGCCGACAGCTTCTACTCTGGCCTGACACCCACCGAGTTCTTCTTCCACACTATGGCCGGTCGGGAGGGTCTGGTGGATACTGCAGTGAAAACTGCAGAGACGGGATATATGCAGGTAATGCCTGAGGACCCACCCCCCAAAACAAACATGTTTCCATAACAGGCTGCTTTAGAGGGACAATTAATGGGCTCTCTGTATTGTTACTTTTTAAGCTGGGACATTTTTCATTATCCATTTTTATTGCATCTGTAATGTAAGAAATTAAGTTGAAAAAATCCACATAATATAATTATATTTGTTATTTTAAATAAAGAATCTAAATCCGTAGTTTCCCCTGACTCAACAGAGCTTTGTAAGGACTGGGAGTATCAGCAGGATTCTTAATGGGACACCTCATACTTTTCTGTTTTCCTTATGTCACAATTTTTCCCAAGAATGAAATGCCATGGACGCACCATCATATATTACTTATTGTCCAAAGAGCAGTTCAAAACATTCTATCTAAAATGGCATCTGGAATTTTGGAGCGTTAGATCACCCTTTACTTTTTTCACATAAAAAGGCCACTTTCAGGTCTTTCCTGGGTCCGTTACTAATGTCCCTGATGCCTTTTGTGCTCACGCTTGCTTGGACAGAGGCGTCTGGTTAAGTCCCTGGAGGATTTGTGCTCGCAGTACGACCTGACCGTACGCAGCTCCACCGGCGACATCATCCAGTTCATTTATGGGGGGGACGGTCTGGATCCAGCTGACATGGAGGGAAAGGATGAGCCGCTGGAGTTTAGTAGAGTCCTCGACAACATCCGGGTGAGAGGACAGTCTGCTCTGCTTTCTTTCACACCCATGAACACTCACACTTCTGTCCCTTTCTGCCTAATGTACAAAATGTAGCATAGTTAATGGATTCGGCACTGTTCCATTCTCATCATTCTTTTACTTTTGCTCCGTGTGGTCTCATGTGTCCGTATTCTTTGATGGTCCATTAGATTGACTGGACTGACCGTATTCTCCTGCTGTAAGTAGACCGCTCATTAGCAGAGAAGCTTTTCATGTGAAAATACACCCGAGAGCTGAAATTACAGCATCTGAGAAATCGTTCCGCCTCTTCATGCAACCAAACAACTTGCAGGAAGTTCCTGCATTATCTTGTTATTCCGGTATGATTAGCAGCAATCAGTCTTAATTGCCACCTGTGTTTACGGCTTTGGCGGGTTGTTGTGCTTAAAATATGGGATTGATCCCAGAGAAGAGGAGCTCAGCAGGAAAACCACCTACTACATGTTGTTGTTGTTCTATGGTTGTGCATTTCAATTCAAGGTGTTTCACATGTGAAAAAAAGAGACGATAAAAGAAGAACAAAGGGGTTATCAATCGTAGTAAAAGAGCAACTGTTCCTCTTATCGTGTGTGTTGGATTCAGTCAGTCCTCCCTCTCCAGTAAGGCAATTACATCCATCAATCAAGGTTGGAGATGTTGGACATGTAGCGGCAATTGTATTGTTGCATGTGTTTAAAAAAAAAGCCTTTTCCAGTAGATGGATATCAGATATTAATATGATGACATAAATATATGGTGTTCGCTCTATGACCTCCTAATGTCCTCTCCGCTCCCCGCAGGCGATACACGTGTGTTCGGACGAGCCTGCGCTCAGTCAAAACGAGCTGGTCCTCACAGCCGATGCCATCACCAAGAGAGTGGACTTCTTGTGCTGCAAAGACATCTTCTTGGAGGTAGAATCCTCATCATAGTACAGCGCTGTCCATCAAAGTTGTATAGTTTATTTTCGTCAATACAAAATCCATTTTGTATGCGCAGTCCACAGATACCTGCTTCCTTTCAACGCAAATAAAGGGGAACAAAACGCGGGCAGTTAGATTGAGCCGCTCATACAAGTATATTCCTCTCAATTTTTAAATCAATGAAAGTGACTTCCCAAGGTGAAGTGGGTCGTGCTTAAATGTGTCGTGAGCCTCATCAGCAGGAACTATGAGAATCCCTCCCTCTACGTTGTAACAGGCTCTGGCTCTGTTTTTTTTTTATTGTTAAACATCTACTGTTGATACAACAATTCATTTTTTCATAAACTACAAAAGAATCAATGCTGTGGACATTTTTTTGACCTGCACGATCAGTCTGGCAAATGGTGCTGAAACAAAACCCCAACAGCGCCTGCGGTTGCGGTGCAACGCCTCCACAACACCGGCTTCAAAAGAAAACATTCATTTGTGTCCCCCGGCATTTGACAGTATGCCTTAATAAGGAAGAACATGGTTGATTCAATGATTCATGCTAACTCTCCCCCTCCTTTTGTAAAGGCGTTAACTGACACAGGCTCAGAGAAATACCTGGAGGTAAAGTGACCGAGCATGCAGAGTTGTGGTTTAACCAATGCGAGAACAGATTGATGGTTCGTTTTAATAATCAGATGGCTGCTATAGTTTAAAGCGCTCGTCGCTGTGCATTGATTCACGACTAAATGTGATGTACTGGGAGTTTGCGCTGGTCCTGCCTTTGGTGTAGGATGTAACAACTGCATGACAGTGTGTGTGGTCTCCAACAACGCACAGCGTGGCAGCATTTCATCATTTGCTAATATTAATGAGCCTTTTGACCCTTTTGATTCTGGATGTATTTCCCCTCGACTGTAGGAGATGAAGAAATTCATCAAGAGCATCTCAGAAAAGATCAAGAAGACCAGAGACAAGTACGGCATCAACGACAACGGCACCAGCGAGGTAGTCGCCACGCGGTGTGGACTAATGACGATATGAGCCATAACGTCTAGTAGGCGGCAATGTTCTTCATCTCAGCTGTTTCTGCAACTTAACGGCTCGTCACTGCTTTTCTGTTGCAGCCAAAAGTTCTCTATCAGCTGGACCGCATAACCCCCACGCAGCTGGAGAAGTTTCTTGAAACATGCAGAGACAAGTACATGAGGTAGAGGACGCCTCATTTTATCATAAGGCTCTCTGCCGTTGATTGATTGTTTGTAAGAAAAAATAAATAAATAAGGAAAAAATCAGTACTTTATGTCCCCACGGACCTAAAAGTTTTGATTTATGCCAAAAATACTTTGCTGTGGGACACTGTTAACAACATACTGTCAGAACATTGTTGGCCATAGAAAGTTTTGAAAAAAAATAGTGTGAGGTTAATAAGTAGTTATTTACTGTATTTACTGTCTCACCTCTGCACACCCAGTTTCTCAAACTGACCATTAAGAAACCACTCAAATCCCCAAAGTGGAATTCATGGGGGCAGCAGAGTAAAAGTGGATTCCCTAATATCTTTGTCTGGGAAACCAACATTTCATGTCAACCCATTCAATGATTGTTGGGAGACTGAAAGCCTTTCGTTGCGTGCAAAGCGTCCAATGGCAACGCGGTCTATTCAAAACCAAGCCTTTTATCCCCCAGTTTTAATTAAATAATCAAATGGATGACTAAAAATGATTATCCATGTGCGTCGGTAATAGCAGACCCTGATGTCTGAGGCCTAGTAGAGCGTTTTCAAGCGATTGGCTTGTTCTGCTGAGATGATTCCAATGTTTATATGACAAATTGCCACGTTCCTCTCAATTGTCCGGCGTAATGGAACCGCCCTGTTTGCTCGCGCAGGGCGCAGATGGAGCCGGGCTCGGCGGTCGGGGCTCTGTGTGCCCAGAGCATCGGGGAGCCCGGTACTCAGATGACCCTGAAAACCTTCCACTTTGCCGGTGTGGCGTCCATGAACATCACCCTGGGAGTGCCTCGCATCAAAGAGATCATCAACGCCTCCAAGAACATCAGGTATGATCAGTCAGTAACGGGTGTTTATCTTCCCTCCGTCATACGCGAGAGGCTCTCGTAGCTTAAGTACGGAGGCCGCGGCGTCCGCGACCGAATGTTCTGAATAATCCACTGAATGCCCTTCGCTCGCCGCTCAGCACCCCCATTATCACGGCTCATCTGGATGTGGAAGACGACGCTGACTTCGGCCGGCTGGTGAAGGGAAGGATTGAGAAGACTCTTCTCGGAGAGGTATTCCAACCAGCAGCACGTTTGTCCCTTTGTCCTTTTGGTCGGTGACATTAGATTGTGAAGGTGTTGATATATTGAACCAGTATTGTGCTGTAATGAAACTAAGGACTCTCGCTTCTCTACAGATTTCTGAGTACATAGAGGAGGTCTTTCTACCGGACGATTGTTTCATCTTGGTGAAGTTGTCCCTGGAGAGAATAAGGCTGCTGCGGCTGGAGGTACCATTGTTTCTTATTTTTATTGCCACAGTCTTGGAATTTTCTATCATTTCGATCGGCCTTAGTACAAGGCTGTTTACCAAAGTATTTGCTGAGATCTGGGAAATATGGAGATATTACTTTAATTCACTCTCAGACTTCTTTGCGGTAATTAATTCTTTCTCTTTAGCAAAAGCATAAGAACTGGATATTCTGACCGGGATCCACACGCATACAGTCGGAATACATCCAGTCAAACTGTAGCCACTAAACCCAAACAATATGTTTTAACCATCATTTAATAAAACACATAACTTAACTTAAGTTGGATAACAATAACAACAAGACCGATCGTTATTAAGTCACTGAAGGTTGTGTTCTGTCGCTTTAAGAAGAACCGCAGCAGCAGTGTTCTCTCCCCTCATGGTACATGTAGGGTTTGGCGCTTTGTGTGGTCTGTAGAGAGCAGCTACGGTAGCTTCGCCCTCTGATTTGTGTTTTTGTCCCTCAGGTAAATGCAGAAACGGTGCGTTACTCCATCTGCATGTCGAAGCTACGGGTGAAACCCGGAGACATCGCTGTGCACGGCGAGGCGGTGGTGTGCGTGTCCCCGCGAGAGAACAACAAAAGCTCCATGTACTACGTGCTGCAGTCTTTGAAACAGGAACTTCCTAAGGTGATGAGCTAGAGTAATTGGTAAAGTGATCGTGTGGTGCTGAATGTTAATTCAGTTCCTAAAGTTAAAAAAGTAAACGTTTGGCATCGTTCCACTTCGTCACCGTTCTGATTTTCTCCCGCGGGAAGGTGGTGGTTCAAGGAATACCTGAGGTTTCCCGAGCCGTCATTCACATTGACGAACAGAGCACTAAGACCATTTATAAACTGCTGGTGGAGGGGGACAACCTGAGGGCTGTCATGGCAACGCACGGCGTGAACGGAAGCAGGACCACTTCGAACAATACATACGAGGTGAATGTGACTTTTAATGGACTCTTGAAACCCGGTGCTACAGGAGCGGCGGATTAGAGCCCTGCGTCCTCCTTTCAGTTCCACATCTGCCGGGAAGGTCGAGCTTGTGTCCGGCAAGCCGATATGAACCAATTAAGGTCAGCAGAGTTTGAGTGAGACTGAGATGAAGCAGTGGCTTACTTTTTGTTGCAAAGGTTTTCGATTAGGAGTCACAAGACTGCAGAAGAATGTTAAATAATTCAGTTTACATGTTAAAAAAACTAGGTCATCTTCTAAAAGTTCTCGTAGAAACAACAAGAGAGAGCCTTAACTTATCATTCACATCCTTCATACTCGTTTTGCTCTTATCTCATTGACATTCTATCACGATGTCAGTAGGAATATAAACAACAAAGCTACGTCATCGTTTTGTTTTCATTATCGTGGCGCTGCCCTCTCATCGCCATGCTGCTAAATAACAAAGATTTGACCATGTCGGAAGCAGCTCTGATAAAATAGAGAAAGTAGAATAGTAGAAAGTTATTGTTGAGTATTTGACCATTTCCGGAAAACGTTGACGGTCCATTCTGTCCTAATTATTGCACAATAAGACCAGCATTTTCACATGTGGATGGATGAGTAAAATTACTACAAGTAATTCTTGGCTCTTTGTGCTTACCATTTGATTTGTTTACTGACTGGCACTTTTCTTTTGCATTTTGTTAGGTTGAGAAGACGTTGGGTATTGAGGCGGCGAGATCCACCATCATCAATGAGATCCAGTACACCATGGTGAACCATGGAATGAGCATCGACCGGCGCCATGTCATGCTTCTAGCAGATCTCATGTCTTACAAGGTAGGACCGGTCTGAGTCTTTATTTCTCCAGGGTGTGTGGTTAACGGCCGTTTCACCTGTCGTCTCTGTGTGCCTTGGGACAATTAAGGGGGAAATACTGGGAATTACCCGGTTCGGTTTAGCCAAAATGAAGGAGAGTGTCCTGATGCTGGCCTCCTTTGAGAAAACAGCCGACCACCTCTTCGATGCCGCCTACTTTGGACAGAAGGACTCCGTCTGCGGTAAACTGACGCTTCACCTGTGTAGGGAAATTAAAGGTAACCCTTGGTCTTAATTGTGCCTTAACACCTCACGCATTCCTGTTCCAGGTGTGTCTGAGTGCATCATTATGGGGATTCCAATGAACATCGGGACGGGACTGTTTAAACTGCTGCACAAGGCCGACAGGGATCCCACTCCAGTGAAGAGGCCTCTCCTCTTCGACAGCGCAGACTTCCACATACCTCTGATCACATAGCAGCAGAGAAGCAACATTGGTTTTGTTTTTGTTTTCTTCAGCAAATACAGGAAGTGCCTGCCAGATTATCAGATTAAATCCTCCGAACACAAGATATCAGTATTTTTGTTTTTTGGGAAGGACGTCCATGCTGATGTCGCAATGCGTGAGGTCATTTATTTTGAAAAGCTTAAACGGTTAGCACGGAGAAGTAGTCAACGTCACATGCTTTGATGTTCTTTTTGGGGCTTTTTTCCTTGTTTGAAAAATGTGTGTTTTTCTCTGTTATTAAGATGTTACATGATATCATACTCACTCATGGCACTGAAGAGGTGCGGAGAAGACTTGGAGATGACCTCTCGATCATACAGCAGGCTGCTTCTCTTCTGGGTTGATACTTATTTTGCATTAAACTCCAAACTGCTTGTTTTTTGTTTTAGTTTGGCAGCTTCGAGATATTGCAAAATGAAATCCAGGTTGTCTTTTCTTAATAGAAAAAAAAATCATTTTCATACACGAATCGGATCATTAGGATTCATTGGCGTGGACATTTTGCTTCCTGTTAAGGCCTGTTCATGTAATAATGTAATATTGTATATAATGTAATAAAATATCGATCCGGGAACACCTGGAAACGTATTTGTTTGGTGTGCTTGTGAGTGCGGCGCCTTGTGGGCCGATTACATTTCTAAAGGCAAACGAGTTCCAAAAGTTGAAAGTGGCCTCATTCAGGATGCCAGTGTACATTTTCTTCTCTCTACTATGAGTTTGTTCTTTTAGACATAAATTACTTGTTTTACCTTAATCTTAATCTCCTAATGATTAAGATTTTAAATATTGAGAGGAAAAGTGTTTTGCACAAAAAATATTTCAAATATTTGACACGTTTTTCTGGAAACTTTTTTTTAAAGAATGTATTAATGACTTCTACACGTTTTGCTTTCTCGGATTGAGTACTATAATTGTTTATAAAATGTAGGAAGAGATGATGACCGGTTGATCGCACGTGGTTATAAGATGCTTGTTCTACCAATGTCTCGACACCCTTTAGGTGAATAGATGTCTCTTATTGTTGTTTACCGAACAGTGAGATTTTTCCCCCCAAAGTTTTCAACAATTGTCATACGGCCCCTAAAGTAGAACACGCTATCTCGATGCCGGCTGGAAACAAAGAAACAAGTGACAGTAAGTTATTTTACCAGACCATAATTTTATATACCAGCGGGATTATGACCTCATTTTCAAGCAGAGCCTTTAAGAAGTAATCGTGGAACACAAGCCGACAACGGAGCTCAACGACATTCTAATCCAGTGATCATAAACAACCAAACACAAAATGAACAGTGATGATTTCCACTTTTAAAAGCACACTGTACAGAACTATAAATAAAGTTGGTTATACCAAACATACTGTATTCCACAAGGAGTTACTGACTCAAAAGACCAAAATGATAACGTTCACAGAAGTCCAGATATGGGGGTTACAAAGATATCTAAAAGCAACAAATAGCGCACACATTAAAACTAGCATTGTCCTTTGTGTGTAAAATGCCACAATTCCTTCCTGTTTGAGTGAAATCGCTGTTCATTTGAATTTAGTGATTGAAGGAGAGGCTTCGATTCCTGTCGTGATTGAATTTGTCATCACACAGACATGGGCCTGAATTAACTACACAATGCGTTGGATGTTTAGACGGCTTTAAGCACTGTATGGAGTCCAACTGCACAGATTTCACCCCTTGTGTGAAGTGGGTTATATGAGTTTCATGATGTAGTTATCTCTCTTCTCCTAAAGATTTCAAATGTTATGTAGGATGGAAGGCATCCTAATTACAGTGTAATTGAAACCGAACTGAATTGAGTTTCATGCTGATTTAAACGCATTTAACAGTGAACTTAATTAAAAGGCGTAAAAGTGTCCTTTCCAATAAGCTCTCGGCGCATCATCACAGCATCGCCAGCAGTTCCTGCTTCATTTGGGAAGGAGTTAAACGACTCACCAAAAGTTCACGCGTCCTAAAGATTTGACCGACAGCTCTGAACAGAATTGATTAAAATAAATGGTGTTTAACCCGGATCCCGATTGTCCCGAGGGCAGCAAAACCACCGCTCGTTGGTGTTCCCCCGTTTCCATCCGGCAGTTCTCCTGACCGGAATGAACAACAAGCTCTGGCCGCACAGGGAGACCTTTTGACTCTTTGTGCCACAGCTGGGAGATTTAAAAATCACACCTTTCGCGCTCTTAGGGTTAACCCTAACCCCTTGGCAGCCGAAAAGCCGGGGCGTGGGTGGGGAGGGGGGGGGCCGCGTTCGGTCGTTTGAACCTTGAGGCCGTTCTCATTTGACCTGAGAGGAGCTGTTGGCGGCGAGGTCCGTTTGGATGGTGGAGGCTTTCTCTCTCTCGTTTCTTTCCAACGTGCTCTTTCCTTGCAACGAAGTCGAGGGCCCTTTCTCTGCCGAGAGCTGGTTCGCTCCGTCTCCCTCGCCCGATTCCGGGAAGGCCTCTCTGCTCCGGGGTTTGATGAACTGCACGCTCGCCTTCGGCACCACCGCCGCGCCGCGCTGCAGGTTGGGCTTGCGCAGGCATCGGGAGAGGGTGGAGACGCAGCTCTTCTTGAAGTTCTCGTTCATGAAGGCGTACACGATGGGGTTGTTGAAACTGTTGAAGAAGCCGATGGCCTGGACGACGGCGATGATCATGTTTAGCGTGACTCCGTCGTATTTGACTTCCAGGTCGTCTGGACAATGAAAACGTGAAAAAAGGGACGAACTGTAAAGATACTGTGAATATTCAAATCCGCGTCGACTTGTCAGGTGTTACTTACGGTACTCAAAGAGCATGTGGACCGTGTGGAACGGGGCCCAGCAAACGGTGAATAGCAGAACAATGGTGATCATCATTTTAACGGCTCTCTTCTTTTTCCTGCAGGAGGTCACAGCGGACACGATGACTTGTTACAGCAGGAAAGGCACAGAGACATTTAGTAACATCTAACGATTGCACGATGCAGTCAATATGAAAGATGTATATCTATGAACATGAAAGTATGTTTCATGAAGTGGGGGCTTTAACTTTCCACATCACACTTGAAAAGCACACAGTGAAAATCATTATTCGATGAGGTAGAAACAAGCAGGGAGTTTGAAACGGATTCCTCAGAGCCGGGAAAAGAATGCGGCGCTTCCTTTAGTTACCTGGAGATCTTACTGACTTCCCGGTGGTTCATGGTGCTGAGGACCGACGAGTCGCCAACCCTCTTGCGGATCCACAACTCAATGCCAATCCGCGTGTACAGGAAGAGCATAGCTGCCAGGGGGAGCAGGAAAAGAGCCACCATGATGAAGGTGGTGTACGCCTGCCTGTGAGTGAGAGAGCGCCAGCTCTCCTGGCAGCACACGTGGTAGTGATCATACAAGAAGTCGTACTTCACCTTGGAGACGGAGGGAGAAAAGCTGTCAGTGACGGAGCGATGATCCGGACGGATAAAGCAGGTTTGACTGACGGGTCGGTATATATGAGGCAAATCTCGGGTGGATTTCTTTCAAATGTTAATTTATGTTTTTTACATTTTTTTTTCCCCTACAGCGTTTTCGCACAATTGTAATGGAGCCTAATCTCGCATGGACAGCAGTCCCCGTCACTGCCGACCCTCCTGCGGTCCTGCGGGAGAGCAGGAGACAAATAGATGATATTGCGCTTGCTTTGTTGGGCTTATTGCTCACCCACTGCTAGTATTACCAGGAGGCCGCGTAGTGATTTAGAACCCATAATGTTCCCTTTATGATCGCCAATGCAAATTGCAAAGCTGGACCAAAAAAACAGCAAATTGAAAACAAAAATTTGCAAAAATCGATGAGGGATTTGCACAGTGCAAAATATGGTGGGTCATTTTGTGTTGCATTGTTTTCTTAACAAATAAAATACAATTTCCATATAACTAAGAAGAGACAACTATGCCCAGGTAATATGTGTCTCGTGCAAAAGGGCTTAATTAAGAAGTCATATTAATTGGTGCGACGGCTCTACCGACAGAAGGGGGGGGGGCTGCTTCCTCGGTTCCTCATTAGTAAAATCAGTCAAACCTGTCAGGTATTGAAACGGTATGCCATCTGTCCAGGAAAGATGTGCACGGAATCACGCCGGTCAAATATGCTGCTGCATGATTAAAATCCCAGTTGGCGGATTTTTCACTCTGAATCACTTGGTGATCATGCAGGTCAAAGATTCACACGCAGTATTCTGCCAAACCACAACATCAGCATCACTTCATCACCACAGAGAACACAAACCACCAGGTCCAAATCCGTCCTTCCACGTGGTTTCACGAGCACAAAAAACGACAACGGCGTGTTCGCGCCGCCGCTGCACACATCCGTGCATTTGAGTTCACGTGATGTGCTTCTGATCACCGGATCAGTGCCAGTGTCACCCTGCCGCCCCCCCCCTCGCCCCCGGTGGGAGGGTCGAGGTCGCGGCAAGAGAGAGACTAAAAGGTTTATGGAAGAAAGGAGTGTAAACAGAGACGTCCTGAGTGAAAAAGCCACCTAGCAGTTCTCAGCCATTCAAATCTAGGACTCTCTTCCAGTATAAGAGGTTTAGAAGGGGAGATAACAAGGTGATGTTGAACTGATATGGAGCAAATGTCCGCTGTGCTTCGCTGAGCAGGTTTTTACTTAATGAAAGGAGGCGACAGGTGAGTTTGTGTGGCGCCGCTTACCTCTAGTTGTTGCACAAACAGCATTGGGGAACCCACGATCACCGAAGCGGTCCACACCAAGCCTACCCGGACGCGGGACAGGGAAAGCAGTTAGAAGGCCCGCCTGGTTTCAACACTACTCGGTTTGAAACAGTAGTTGGTCGGTATATTCAAAGAGAAACCTGCCTGAGATTGATGCCGAACACGGCGTTTATCTGCCGCACAAATGAATATTTTTCTCGTGAATAACGAGCTGTCTCCATGCTGCACGGGATTCTACATGGATGGAACTCATTATTTATTAGAAATATTAGCACTTATTATCCCTGTCACTTACTAAACATACCGCCATAAATGAAGGATTATTTTAGGAGGAAACATTGAGTAAAGACCTAATATTATTCAATCGGTTTTTCCCACTTTTGAGCCTGATTTAAAACACATTCATATTTTTGTCAAGGAGAGTAAGCTTTAGTTAAACAGTTCACTTTACCATCCAGAATAATCGAAACAGTAAATAATAGCATATTGGGGCTGAATTTTAAAATATAACCTCGAGGCAACAAATCATTGCCAGATCCTGCAGCAGCTCTTTGGAGCCTTTCAGTCGTTCCTCTCACGCTGCTTTCCTTCACACTCTAAAAGAGGGATTAAGGCGGGAATATGCTTCTATTTCTGCACCTCAAAGAATGTGCAGAGGTTTCGTTTTGATTCATTTTCTCTTTTCTCCGACACGGCTGCACTTACTTTCAGACCCTTTTTTCCATTTCTGAACCAATCAGAAATTCAGCGTATGATAAAACATAAACTACCAACTACCCCCAAATTGCAGGAGCAAGTTCGACGGCAACTGCTACGGCAGCACGTAGGCCCCCATACGGGCATTTAATGTGGCTCAGGCCGATTTTAAATATGGGGTTGAAATCCTACTGAGCTTAATCCTCTACAAGGCATCATCATCATCAGCGTCGACGCTGCCTCACCTTCGTTAATCAGGTCTGAGGGAACCTCCTGTGGTTCCGCGCACGTCGGTTCAATCTTACAGCGTTGACCGGACGTTGGCTTGACAATGTTATACAACCGCTGCCGCTGTGCAGGTGCACGTATGTTCTCCAAGGAAACGTGAGCGCCTTTTCCCTCCGTCCGGAAACCCGGTTATGAGAAAATCTCAGGAAAAATCACCCCAAGAGGCTTTTAGAAACCTTGAGATGGAAGTGAACCAGTGCCGTCCTATTTGTTATTTACTGTGTGTATATCTAGCAGTTATGTGCTATTCGTTTTGAGTGTAACATACACCATTTAACCTGTATCTTGTAAACTGAAAATTAAAATGATTGAGAGAATTTATAAACGCACAAGTATAATTCTAGATTCGATTTTACCGAAACTAAGCGTTAATTAAACCTGCATAACAGTTACATAAAAGAAAAACGTGGGATAAATACTATTTCAATGAATCAGAACAGCCTTTTACTTCTTCCCAGGACAAAGGACCCCTTCAACACATAGCAGACATCCACTTTTAAAAGCACACAACAAGGGAGCCAAATATAGAATACCTAGCATATTGTACGCTCTTTTGGACGAGTACTGTCTCCTCATTTTCAGCGGGAAGACGATGCCCTGGTATCTCTCGACGGCGATGCAGGTCATCGTGAGGATGCCCGTCACTATGGCTGTGGTCTGCACAAAGGGAACTGCCTTGCAAACCAAAACCCCTGCAAGAAAGAAAAACAGAAACACGCATTTATATTCCTTTTGTTGAGACTGGAAGCCGCGGCGAGCGCTTCGGTTTAAATGACATAACCAATTTATTACTACTCGTGAACACACGTGTGTCACAGCTAATGAAGCACTGAGTCGAGACCTGGGAGAGAAATAAGTAAGTACGATACGTCTGCTCTGATTCACTCTGAGCTAATTGTGACTGCACTTTAATAGGAGCGCTTGCTGTGAGCTGGCCTTCAATTGCTATGATACATTGAATCTTGTTGAATTTCAATAGGCCGTGTTGAGTGGTCTAAGACGTGGTCGCGATTTTGTAAACTGTTGAATAAGATGAAATCTGCATGAGATGATATTCCATGTGTAAGGCTGATAAGGCTCAGTACATGAGGGAAAAGGGGGTTTGATTCAGAAAAAGCAGCAATTAATTGCACAGTAATGTGACTGCAACTTAAATAAGGGCATCTAAAGTTTGCATTGATGCCTCTGACTGATTCTATTTTTTTTATGGCAGTGACTGTTGACTCTTTTTGACACCTCGTGCAACCTTTGACCTGAACACCACAAATTCTGCAAGTAAATAATGCATAAGTAAACACCCACTAATGTTCCAAACCTCAATGATGTGATCACCACTACTATCTATTAATCTGTGTAGGAATGTCTTGTTAAATATATTCCACATATACATTCATATCCCTCAAACTCAAATTTGTTTTCATACTCAAACGCCCACTCCAGCACAAACTGACAGGATCCTAAATTGTAGCATCAAAGTTGAACAAGCCCTTCTGAGCACCGTACACATTCATTTGATGGGGAATTTCTAATATAATATTCAATGCATTATTGTATGACATAATGTATTGTATAATATTTGTATGAAATTTTCTATTCTATAAATACTATGAATATATTTTGTGATGCCCAGAGTCACCGATCTGTCCTTTAGCTCCAAACCTGAAGAATCAATGTTTTGTCTGATTGCTGCACGGCCGACGTGATTATCACGTGGCGCTCTGCTTGTTTGACGGGACAACCGCTGAGACAACCAGTGAGACAAACAGAGACAACCGCTGAGACAACCAGTGAGACAAACACAGAGACAACCGCTGAGACAACCGCTGAGACAAACACAGAGACAACCAGTGAGACAGACACAGAGACAACTGCTGAGACAACTAGTGAGACAACCAATGAGACAACCAGTAAGACAACCAGTGAAAAAAAACACTGAGGCAATTACTGAGACAACAAGTGAGACAAACACAGAGACAACTGCTGAGACAACAAGTGAGACAAACACAGAGACAACTCCTGAGACAACAAGTGAGACAACCAGTAAGACAACCAGTGAAAAAAACACTGAGGCAATTACTGAGACAACCAGTGAGACAACAAGTGAGACAAACACAGAGACAACCATTGAGACAACCGGTGAGTCTGTTTTCCTCCATTCGGTCACACTTTTGTAGCGCGCGCCATTAAGCCAAAAGTCCCAAAAGCAAATAACAGAATAAAATGCTTAAATGCGCCTTACTTCATTATCATTCAAATCATTATCCCAATGAACAAAATGCCTCTGAGGTCTGAAAAAAGTGATTAAAAACCCACCTCCGAACCACTGGGACGAGACGTTTTGCAGCAGGGTGAACGGGATGCAGAAGAAAGTGATGAGCAGGTCGCTGACCGCCAGAGAGCAGATGAAAATATCGGTCGCCGTCTGGATCGCGCGTTTCTTCACAACTATGTAGATGACCAAACTATTTCCAGCCAGGGCCAGCAGGAAAATCACCACGTACATGATGACGAAGGTGGTCTTGGCGCTGTACGGCAGCTCGGGGATGTAGACGAGCGGCTGGATCTGGTACGTGTTGATGAACTCCTGGCGGCTCAGGTTGTACCGCTGGAGCATCTCGCGCAGCGCCTCGGGGGTGATCTTGGTGGACCCTTGTCCCGAATCCGTCGAAGCTGCCGCCATCCCTCCCCCAACCACAGACGTATGTCCCCAGCCCCCCCTCAACCACCCCCACCCGCCTAAAGCAACCGGCGCGGAGGAGAAGAGAAGTGTCGGTGAGCTGAGTGCGTCCGCGTGGCGCTCTGCCTCCTTCATCCATCGGCTGGCTGTTTGAGCTCCAGCAACTGTTGCAGCGCGAGCGCGCGCGCTCGCGTGTGTGTGTGTGTGCGCACGTGCGCGCGCGCGTGGACAAGAGGACGAAGTGAATCCCGACAGTCGCTAATTAGTGCGATGTATGTTTTCGTACTTTATGCTGGTTCATTTAAATTAACCTCGGCCTTTAATCTGCACACAAGGTAAAACACTTTTGTTGCAAAGGGAAATCATGGAATCAAATGGACGTAGTGTTTTTGTATGACATTTTTGTGACAAATTGTTATGTTTTTCATATGCTACTACACTATGAGAAGCATATTAATACTGTACTACGGATATGCTATGATATGTTTTCTATGATAGTTCATGAAACAACACATTCACATTTCTTATGACCTTTGTGTGTCACACCATAGTTTTTACCAGCCGCCCTGGAATCCTTCTCACCTTTTCATCAAACTGAAGGTCGAGATTGAAGATGAGCGCGAGGGAAGCCAAGCAGCCAATATTAATTGGTAATTGCTAAGATGATCGGAAACTTTGGCTTCCATCCGATAGAGGTTGAGATATTTCAGCCTGGGCGAAAGTGGTGTCTGGAGACTTTAAGCCCGGTCTTGTCTTTTACCCCCCCCCACCACCAAGAGACCACGTGGATCAGGGTGCAATGGGGAGACCTTAACCTTGGTTTACCGCGCTCGAGATTGGAAGAAAATTCCTAGAGCTGTATTTATGTTGGAGCCAGATAAGCTTTGAATAAACAACCAAAAAGTACAGAATTTCTACATTCAAAACAACAGTTAATTGAGAGATTCGTAACCTTGAAAACATGAATATAAAGAAGGAGGACGAGGCGGCAACATGAAGCCCAACATTGGTGACAGCATATTTAAGTTTACATGCACTCATGCCAATAAGCCCTTTGGAGTTATGCAAATGTAATAAGTAGCTCCAGCTAAAAGTTTAAAACGTGTTGCTGGAAGTTGACTCAGTTAATTTAAAAATATTTCACTGCAGGTTAAAACAAAAACACACTGAATTGCTCCAAATGTGAAAACTAGGTAATGAAAATACCAGGACGATAGAAACGTTATTAAAAAGGTGGCAAACTCTTTTGAATTCAAATAACTTAATACTGTTAAGTAACGTGTTTTAAAAAATATCTTACGGTTAAGGTTTGAGAGCCACATTAATTTCTTTGCTCCAAGAAATGTGACTGTGACATATTCACAAAGGTCTTACATTTTGTAACTTCCCCATGCAGGGGAACAAAGAGACGGCCCTAAATTTGCAATAAAAATGGCAGCTTGGTGCACAAGGCATGCAGGAACTCATGAAGGCTTTGTGACGCATATGAATGTTTTTATTGGTATCAATAATTACATTTGTGTACCTGCCAATAGCGAATCGCGATGCTTCCAGATCCAAACATGAATGTGTGAAAGTGGGGGCATTTGATCTGGTGGTCTCCGGTAGGAAAAGGAGCAGCTCATACCGAGTAGAAAGTGCTACAGGAACTCCAATCAGAGAGGAGTGATTTTACAGAACCGGTCATGCTTGCATGCGCGTTCTTCTGCCAGTTTGCTGTGCAGTAAATGCTGCTGCAATCACAACGTCTGTCATTTTCTTTTCCTTTTTCAGGGATGTTGAGGAGCTCAAAAGGCATTTCTAGTCTTGTCGCAATTACAGAATCAATTAAAGGATAAGGGCTCCTTCCTTCAGCACACGGGTGTCACAAATTTTCCCTCGGGTTAAAAAATTAAATAAAAAATCCTATGCAAACATTATTAACGATTGGCTGCGGAAATTAATGACACAGCCACCAAACTAATTTGGTAAAAGACGAGTCTGAAACTGAATTTGGAACCTAGCTAAAATGTTTAATATGAAATGGAAGAAGTAGTTTAATATATCTATCGACCAAGTCTAATTTTATTTATGCCTGTATGTGTTAAATTAACAACAATAACAATCACTATCACGAAACATTATTACTATCATTATTGTTTCCAGTATCTTTTTCTCTTAATAATGTATTGAGTTGATTGATTTGCGGAGAAGTATCTAATTTAAGGGGTCACAACTCAAATGAAGAGCGCAACATTTGATATAATACGACTTAAAATGAGCATTTTGAGATGAAAGCCAGGATGAGGTTCCAGACAAATGAGCTGATAAACACATAATTATTACTTTGAATGCTCTCAAGAGGACAACTCTTATCATTACGTGCTGCAGCACGTGTAGTTTTAGATGAATGCAAACCCACTTCTGAGTGCAGCGGGGTCATCAGATCAAAAATCTTAATCAAATAGTGATCTAGAAACCGGAATCATCTCTCATACTGAGATTAAAACTGTGGCTTTAATTGCTGTTCGGCGTAATTGCAGTTGGCTGTAACTGCTATGAAGAGCTTTCTAGGATCGTGGCTCGGATCAGGCTCAAACAAAGATGAAATATGCGTATGGACTTTGAATAATTCTACTGGAATTTGTAACAACGCCACTTAAAATCCTCAATGCTGTGTAGTCAAAAGTTAAATCATGCTTTTTTTTAGCTTATCCCACCATCACACAGCAGTGAGTGGACACAGAGATAAAGCGTATTTACATAAGTGTATAAGATGAACAAGTCCAGTAGATGCAAATTAGAAAAGAACACTGAGAAAGCTATGAGCATTTAATTACTTTGATAAATAAATGTGATTTTGATGCACAATAACAACAGAATCAATAAACCTCAGAGCATCAGCCAGGCGTGAGTAGTTTCCGTCAGCTGTTGGCAGTATAAACAAAGACAGGTGTTTTTGAGAGAGTGTGATACGGCACAAGCACAAGCGGTCTCTGAGCATGCAGCCGTAAACCGCTCGTCCAACATCAGTGGTGAGCAACACACTCCCTGCCTCACCCGCAACACGCCATGAGGCATGATTCTCCTGGCGGTGATAATTGATAGAGAAACTTTTAGCATCTGTTTGTATCACCAGGAAATGAAAGCCTTTACTGTTGGACTGATCCTAAACAGCGTAGGTGGCATCACTGTCAGGCAGGGAGACCTGCAGCACGGTGCAAAAAACCACAACTGTGAGTTCCGCCAGCTTCAGAGGCAGAGTATCCTTCAATAAAAAAAAAATAAGAATAAACATGGTTTGGTCTGGACAAGTCTGTTTTATCTCAGAGAAAATGCTAAAGAAAAAAAAAAAACAGGCACACAGGGAACAATTAAAAACTGATGTTGAAAACTCCCCCTTAAGAACTACTGGCTGCATTTAAACGAGATGCCTGAACATTACACCAAATGGATACAAGAGCTCTACAGGCGGCCGAGGCAAAGATGGCGAGGTCGGTGGGGGAGACTTTTCAACACCCGGTAAATTTGCCTGCAGCTTTGGGATTTGTAGTGCGTCACCCGGAGAATACAAAGTCCCCAGATTGGATTTTTTGTTGCTGTGCGCTCTACTTTTGGCCCGGGGAGGTGTGCAAACACAAATGCCACACAGCATCACAAAGCATGTTCTTGTTTTCCCCCCTGCAGAAATATGCTCCGGCTGGATATATTGTAACAACCGGGTGGCGAGACGGGAAATTCTGCCAATAAGACGGGGTCCAGAACCGCATCCATCACCTCAGCTTCCACGCCTAAACGTTCCCAACATGCCAGTGGATACCTATCATGACCTTTTTCCACTTCCAATATTAAGGTGATTCTTCTAGGAGGACTGAGCTGTGGCTCAATGCTACAGAGTTGAACCCACTCTGCCGCAGTTCCCCCCCACATTTATTACGAGTTAATAATTAAGTTAAAAGAAGACCACAGTTCGTCCGACATCAAACACTTGAAGATCGTATATTTCATTTGGACCTTTTATCTGCAGCAAAGTTTGAGGTGATTGATTGATTGCCACCTCACTGACAATGAAGGTCACATAATATAGATTCATCAGTCAAAACAGTGAGTAAAATATTTGTAGTGAGGATACAACTATAGTGAATAGACAAGTTTAACCCTCACAACAAATCAAAATTAAATGATCATCATTTATTCTTATTACACTGTAAACAATGTGTAGACGTTAGTCACTGCATTGTTGTCAACTTCGTTTTGAATTAATCAACCTGGTTTTAGTTCCTCAATCGAATATCATAAAATTGTTTGCTGTTTTGCATCCAGTCTAAATAAAGCGGATTGCAGGTCACTCATTGTGTACCGATGCCATTGTTTTTTGTGTATTTAGCGTTTCTTAGCAACAAAGGTAACCCAGCACATGAAGTACCAACGGGTTTCGGCTATAGGAGGTTTTTAGAGGTAAGGTTTCCGTTGAGATTTTTAACTATTTATCCTCCAAGAAACAAGAAACTTGCAGAGTCATCTTTGGAGTGAATCTATCTCTGGCTCCTTGTTAGGATTTGGTTTCGAGCACAACTTGGCAATCACAGGAGCCCGTCAACATCACGTCGCTTCGTAGCGGCACAGCACACTCCAGAGTTGTTCTTTCAAAACCTTCGGCAGTAAAAAGCCGCGGTCCAACTTATCAGGTGCCGCTCGCCCCCGAACTTCCCACGATGCTGACGAGGAGCACTTTGAGTCATCACTCCTTCTTTTCACGGCACAAACCCTCATCCGAACAGGGTTAAACATATTCAAGGTGAGCAAACAGCAAATTCATTTTATGCTTCATTTACTTTTGCGTATTTTTATTTTTACAGGAAATTGACTTGAAATCCTGTCTTAGCCTTTGCTTCCCCAAATTCCGGCAAATAAAAAAAAACGTTTTTTAATTAATCTTTATTCCGTTCAGACGTCTGTCGATGTTTTGAACATATATTTAAAGGTTTTTGGCTTCAGCTGCTTGTGCTCAGTTTGGCATAGTTGCACTATTGGAGGGG